AACCCACCACCTTAGGTGTATGTGGCTGGCGCCTTAGCTACTTGAGCCAGTGTCTCTCCTAGAATTAAAGAGCTCTGTAGGACAGTGAATTCGATGTTTTCTTCCACATTGTCACCCTAACTCAGTAAACCCAAGTCGAGCCTCCGCTCTTTATCACCCTGGGTGGATGTTTCTAAGCTGCCATATATATATATATATATATATATGTATGTATATATAATCTTGGGCCAAGTGCCAGGCTGTAGGGTAAAATGACAGATTTGTACAACATGTTTCGATGGTGATTTTTTTGTATGTGTGAAACCCTAACCTCTGAGAATACTGCAGACGTTGTTTGGGAAGCTACGTTTCGGATTTTCAGTGCATTGACACGAGCCCCCCAGTGCTAGTCCCAACAACTCCGCTTCTAAATGGCTGTGTAGATGTAATAAGTTACTCAGCCACCCTGAGCTTCAGTTCCCTCCTCTTTAAAACAAGGAAATTGTACAAGAAAAATCTCAGAACTTGCCAATCTCCAAAACTCTGTGGTTCTTTGTGATTCCAAAGCTGGAAATAATTCAGTTCAGAGATGTGTATTACATTGGTCCGCTTTTCTTTTTAGTTACTGTAATATATGTTGTAAGTTAATGTCGTGTAAAGAGTTAATTCTTTAATGATGATAACAGCTCCTGTAGTTCTGACTTTGTGCCAAGCGTGACTGAATCCTTACAACTCTATGAAGCAGGTACTATTGTTAGTTCTCCATTTCACAGATAAGGGGACTGAGGCGCAGAGAGTAGCTTTAATTTTAGAATCTTCCTTTGTCTCCATTTTGGGTGTTTCTTTCACCTCTCTTTTTTGCTAGATCCCTTGTTTCCTGTATTCTAGTTCTTCATCTTTCTGGATTTACTTCTTTGCTGTTACTGCTGAGGAAAGGTACATGGAAATAGATTTGTGAGACCTTCATGTCTGACCTGTTTTTATTCCACCCTCACTTTCCATCGGCAGTTTGGCTGGTGACAGAACTCTGCGATAGCAGCAATTTTCCTTCTAGCTTTTTTCTGTTGTGAAATCTCATATCTTCTGATTCCTGATCTTTCATATATAACCAGATTTGGGGGTTTTTTTCCCTAGAAACTTGCCAAATCTTTTGTCCCCCATGTTCTGCAGCTTCGCAGTAATGTGCCTCAACATGGGCCCGTTTTCATCAGTTTTACAGGTGACAAGCAAGTGCATCTTTTTCTTTTAGAAATCCATGGCCTTCAATTTGGGGAAAGTTTCATTGTTGTATTGATGAATTTCTTCCTTCAGCTTCTCTTTCTCTCTTTCTGGAACAATTACCCACATTTTGGATCTTCTGGACTAATCCTCTAATTTTTTAATCTTTTCTTTATTTTCATTTTTATAATGTTTCACTATACTTTTTCTGGATATATCCTCAACCCCCCCCATTATTTATTGAATGTTTTATATCCACTATTATTTTTTATTTATAGGAGCTTTTTTAAATTCTCTGTTCCTTTTTTATATTACTTTGGTTCTGTTTTATGAGCCCAGTGTCATCTTTGAGGATTCCAATGATAGTTTTTTTTCTCCTTTCTGGAAAATTTTAAAGTAGAGAGAAAATAATAGAAAAAGATTTTCATGTTCCCTTCATCCCACAGCTGCTTGTTTAGTCAACCACTCGCCCAGATTGTCTTAAGGCAAATCCCAGCTACCATGTCATTTTATCCATAAATATTTCCGTGTTATCTCTAATATAAAGCGCTCTTAAAATATAACCTTAATATGTCATACCTAAAAACAACAGTTCCTTAATATCATCAAAGATATAAATAACTAACACTGCAATTGCTCTGATTATATGTTTTTTTTAAACAGTTGGATTGTTCAAATCAGTACTGAACTAAGGTCCACACAGTGCAATTGGTTGATCGGTGTTTTAAGACTCTTTTCATCCACATTCTCCCATCTCTCTCTTTTTTTTCTGTGCAATTTATTTGTATAAGAAACCAGGCCATTTGTCCTATAGAGATTCCCACCATCTGGATTTTACTGATTGTCTAGTATTTCTGTGATACAAGCTGGGGAGGGGGTTGTTTGTTTTGGACTCTGTGTTTTACTTTAGACACTTTCCTTTGAAGTCAGATGGTTCCTCTTTGTCTGCTATCTTTAAGAATGGGGGAAAACAAGGATGATTTGAGCCCAGGACATGTGAATGGGGCTCCCTGGCAATAGCTCCCCTTGAGGTGCTCTCTCTCTACTTGGGAACCACCAGTGTCCGTCTCTCTGAATTCCGCCTCTTTGGCTGTGCAGATCACTCAGAGAAGAGCTTCTGATCTCTGCCCCCCCGCAAGGGTCTGGGCCTGGTCTCATCCTTCTGGAAACCCCCAGTGGGGAAAGGGGCTGGGGGGGGGGATCCCAGCACGCAGGTGTTCACCCAGCCCCTAGTTTTCTTGAGAGTACGGTTCTTCCCCACAAATCGTGCCTAGCCCGTTCCCCAGAGATCTATACTCCGTCTTTTGTACTCTCCAGAGAGTTATCTTCAGCCTTTGACAGGATGGGAGAGCGGCACCCACTCAGCTTTACGGCATAGGAGACTGGTCTGGGCAATGTAGCCATTTCTTGAAAGAAGTTCAGTAGATCCTCTGTATTTCAGCTCATCCTGTTCATCGCCCCCTAGTTTCAGTAATACCGGCAGTGACTTTTAGGGGATACCATAGTGCATGGAAAGTGGTTGATCTTGGCTTTCTCCACTGCCAATTCAAGATTCCATTCTGTCTATTTTCCAGCTTCCAAAATTATCCCTACAGCTTCATGCATTAAAAACAAAAGCAGAAAAAATAGCGGCAAGACCCTTTCCTGGGATATCAGGAAAGGAGCAGGAGTAAATGTTTATATTCTATCTACACTTCTTAGAGTTCCTTGACCTTAGATTATACTGGCCAAGGGATAGTTGATCTCCTGCCTCATGGCCATTTAGGTTCAGACTGAAGCAAAGAATTGGATAAACTTGACTTTTGTAGTTAAAGGAAGATTTCCATGGATGAAACCCATTATAGATCTTTGAGTTGTTTGCTAAATGTGTGAACTCCAAACATGCCATGCCAGATCTTAAGGTTAAAGCTCATGAAGGTGTTTGCATAAAGACTCAGATCTTAACTTTCACATAAAACACAGACCCCCCTCCTACCTCAGAATAAAGACTCATTCTGTGGCTGCTATAAAACCAGCTGCTCCCACAGCTGCTCAAAGCCAAAAAGCAGTTGGCAGGATCAAGATACTTCATCTGGTACCAGGGCCCTGTTCCAGACTCACATTGGCCAACACAGGAAAGGAGTCCAAGGCTGTCCAGGCTTCTTTGGACAGGCAGCTGGGAAGGCTCCTCCGTGTCTCACTCAGGCCGGGTGTGGAGTGCTTCTCTGGGGTCATCTGGAAACTTGTTAGTGTGATTTCTTTTTCTTGGATGAGCTGGGGGCTCATATTTTTGACCTAACCATAATGGCTGTCATCCCTGTTTAACACACATCTAATTCAATTAGATTCAGTGAGTTCTGTCCTTTTGTAAGAATGTGGTTAGATTTTTGTATTCGCCTGAATTCTGAGGCTTTATAATTCCATCCAGGGAGCTGGAAAGGTACTAGTGGGGAATGTACACTTACAATTGTTCTGAAGGTGTATGTTCTCCGTGGCACACACAATGGGGCCGTACCCTGAAGCAGCAATTCAGGGAGGTACTGAGGCACAAGTACCTGGGGGTAGTGTTCCTGTTGAATTAAGTCTTCCTAAGAGGGGGGAATTCAAAGAAAAGGCACTGGACGCTA